TTCGTCCAGATTGGTGTGCAAGGTATCTGGACCATGTGCTGGCTCCTAGGGTCTGTCCAGGGATCCTGAACCATCTCCCATACTTCTGCATCTCACTCCTCACCTTGTGACATGCTTTTACCGTACCAGGCTCCCCACCAGACAGGCAGGCACTTCAAGGTCCGAATACATCTTGTGGTGTTTGGGCCACTGCTGCTTGCACATCTGTGAGCCGTGTCTCATCTACACTGTTATAGCTTTGTGTCTACTCAGTGCTGGGCATTCTAGTGTTCGGCTTATGTTCCCAAGGAACCCAAACCCAACCCCTGATTGTCCTCAAGACACTATAGAGGCAGAGATGAGGGTGGAGCTCCTCTATTTGCTTAAATGGCTCCAGCATGAGGGTGGCCTGGGGTCAGTGGGTGACAGTGTGTTCACACTGAGACCAGGGCCCAGAGACATCTGTGGAGCAGCTGTTTCCTAGGTGAGAGGTGCTCAGCTCTAAATGGGAGCCCTGAGTGCAGCCCAGCCCCACTTCTGACAGTGACCCAAGCTCCCTAGGAGCCATGTGGCCAATCCTGAGGCTTTCTTGTGTTTGTGCACAGAGCTTTCCTTGTAGTCGGGAATACCAGAATACATGAAGGTGACACGTGGATGTGGTGAAAAGTTAAAAGCCATACAAAATGTCCAATAAAAGGTGATTCCCCAGGCGCTTTGTACAGGTACGCACCTCTGTGTGTCTGACTGCTTGCACCTGTCAGTCAGCTGTCTTCCCATCCCCAACGTGTTCTCTGCTTCTTTGCACAGGTCTCCGTGCTGGTCCTCTTTGCCCTGGCCTTCCTCACCTGTGTTGTCTTCCTGGTCGTCTACAAAGTGTACAAGTATGACCGCGCCTGCCCTGATGGGTTTGTCTTGAAGGTAAAGACTTGGCCTTCTGAGGATGCCTTTGTACCCCTTCCCACCCCAACCCTAGGGCCCTACAGCAGCAGGGCCGTGGCTACGTACCTACAGTGGGAGGGTCCTCGCTGAAGGTCCTGCATGGGCAGCCAGGCAAGGAGGCAGAAGGTACCGTGGGATCACTGGGGAAGAGGTCCCTTTACCCCGGGACAGAAAGTGCCAGGCTGACACTCCTCTCCAGTAGTTGGTATGGGGATAGAGGGTAGTGACCAAGAGGAGAGCCCTGCCCTAAGCCACACAAACGGGCACTACTGCCTACAGGTTGCTCTTGGTCTCTCCTGTGGGTTCCACTGCAGGAACCATGTTGGCATCTGCACACATGGAAATGTTCTGTCTGCTTCTGTGCCTCCTTACCATGAGTCTGCCACAGATGCATTTACACATGACAGAGGACTAAGGAAGCAAAACTGAGAGGAGGGAAGTTGGGGTGGAGGTAGGAGACGGAGGAAGGCAGGTGTAGAGTACAGGCTTCCATATGCCCCCCCCACCCCCGGTTCTGAACTTCCCAGAGCTGTCGGGAAATGGTCCTGTGCAGGCTTCGGCACTGCAGAAGTGTGAACAGAGCAGGCACTGAGAGTTTGTGCTAGTCCACGTGGCCCATGGATGTTTGCTGGATGGATGTGTCTGGGTTTTGCTGAGGTGAAACTGCAATGCCTTGGCAGAGCAAATTAGAAGAGCTGAAAGTTGATGTACCTCAGCCAAGACTTCCTCTACCTTTTACACCACAAGGTCCTTCAGGGCTTCTGACTTCCAGACCTTCCTTTCTCCTGCAACGATTGTAGGATATCTGCCCACTGCTCAGCACCCTGAGTTCCTAGTAAGGGTCTCAGAAAAAGGGATGTCCATGAGGATGATCTCACGGGTCACGTGGATGTTGTAACAGACAGGCAGTAACGGCTGCTCTCTATGATCAAAGTCTCCTTTCTCCATCAACATCCTTCATACTCATCCTGTGACACCAAGCAGTGGCGGAGCAATGTCAAGGGAATCTGGATTCAGAGCTTGATATTGCATCCCAGCTTCAGTGGCCTCTGGCTGAACAAGGACCACACTGTAGACAGTGCTGCACTCGTGCACCCGAGCACGCGCGTGCACGCGCACACGCGCGCGCACACACACTTGCAGGCCAGGTCAATGTCTTGTTGTCTTCAATTCCCTCTCCCCCTCCTCTTTTGGGACAGGGTCTCTCACTGAACCTGGCAGCCAGGGATTAGAGGTGTGCCGTCTCTTCATGCTCCCACTGTGTGGGTCTGAGCCACCCCGAGAGCTGTATCTCCATCTCTCGGGGCTGTGAGGGATTGGCAGCATGGGAGCTGCAACACCTGGAAGCATAGGTGCCAGGCCGAGTTGGTGTGCACTCCCAAAGCCATGTGTGTCAAGTAAGGGACTCACAAGTGTTGGTGGACTGAAGATGCCACTGGTAGATTCTGGGAAAGAACAGGTTGGACCCATCGTCCTTAGGATGGAGATGATGGAAAGGTCTGTTTCATATTCTTTTATGTCCTTGAGTTGGGTGTGGAGTCTGGGATTGGCACCCTAGAAGGGTGCCCCAGTGTGTGGTGGTGGATAGTGCTGACAGGAGGTCCCAGACAGATCTGTGTTCTCATACCTGCTTGTGTGGAGTTGCCAGACTTAGCAGCAAGCACCTTTACCCACTAACCCATTTCAGTGGCTCCCAAAGAAAGCCCTCCTCAGTGCTCTTCCTCTTATTTCATTTGGGTCGTTTGCAGACATGTCAAAGTGTCCTTGCTTCTAACGGATGAATAGCCAAGGACAATCATCCAGTTAAGAGACTTGTGAAGGGAGGCACACTGCCTGTTACACCTATCCTGGGAGCCCAAGTGCCCGTGCAGCAGTCAGTCTTCTACACAGCTATGGCCTCTGAGGGCAGGCCCCATCCCTCTGTCCATGTTAGTGTTTATGCCTGCAAGCTCAGGGAAGATGCTTAGGAGCTTTTTGTGGGGATATGGATTGCAGGCACACACATGCTGATATGCCCTTGTATCTACCACCATCTTCATGGCCTCCTGTCTTCCAGAACACTCAGTGCATTCCAGAAGGCTTGGAGAGCTACTACACGGAGCAAGACTCCAGTGCCCGGGAGAAATTTTACACTGTCATAAACCACTACAACCTAGCCAAGCAGAGCATCACCCGCTCCGTGTCACCATGGATGTCAGTTCTGTCAGAAGAGAAGCTGTCTGAGCAGGAGACCGAAGCTGCAGAGAAATCAGCTTAGCAAGCTGGGCAGGTTCCTTACGTGTCACTTGAAGGCAACAAAGGGACTTTGAGGGACATTTCATTAAATATAATTACTGATAATTTAGAGATTACTCATTTACGGTGCAATTGCTTCTGTTTGCTAATGCTGCTTTGCAAATAAAAACTTGCTGCGGACCACCCACAGGCATAAGAACAAGCGCATCTCAGCATTGCTTAGAGAGCTTGACACCACTGTTCATGCTGAGGAGTCTTCATTTAGTTCCTTCACTGGGATTCACTGGATACTGTCAAAAGATTAATTTACACTGGATATGCCAGGGGTCTGGCCACCAGAGCAGTGCATTTGGTGTTTTTTTTGTTTTTTTTTTTTTCTTTTATGCCCCTTTTGCTATCTGCAGACCTTTCTCCATAGCCATATCTTGAGTGATCCCCTGCTTTGCTGATAGTAGTGCTGACTGCCAAGATGCCCTGTTGAGTGGCACAGAGAAGGGAAGGCCACGACGCAGCCCTGCCAGCCCCTACCTGGGCAATTCTGGGAGGTTCTCTTTGGTGTGTGCACTGAGCAGAGCACGACGATGGGGTGGGGAGGAGCTGGCTCTGGGCCAGGGGGTTGCAGAGCCTGTTTTCCTGTGGGTGGGCTGTCTGCTGGTGGTGTGCTAGATAGGAAGAAAGCCCACTGGTCCTTTTCTTTCCTGTTATGAATATGTTTGCACGTACAGCCCTGTATGCAGGTGGTTTGGGTTTTTCATTTTATTAGCTGGGTGGGCAAAGTGACAATGTAATTTTGGGTAAGCCAGGGCTACTTTAGCTTTTTTTCTGTGAAGAGATGTGACTCCTGTGCTGTGGGAAGGGGGCAAGATGGCTGTTGGGGGGCTGATGTGGCACCTTGCAAATAGAATATCTAAGTCCACAATCTTTGTAAGAAAAGTATGTTTATGTTTCAATCTGAATCTTGACATTAAAGTATATGTTTACAAAATCACCAGTAGGTAAGCTAAATGTGTAAGACAATTAAATACAAAAAGCTATTCCTGATTGTTTTCTTCCATGTTCTCAGAATGTGTTGTTTCCAGTGGGCATGTCAGAAGTTTCAGTGTTCTTTAGTAGGTCAGAAATAAATGGGAAAGAGTCTGAGATCCTTTGTGAACAAGCACAGTGACTGTCATGAGCTTCACTGTTGTTTCCTGAGGTGTGCTACTGAGGAAGAATATTTTCTCGTTGGAGTGTTCTGAAACAAAGACCATGAACTCAGCACGCAGGTGTGTGTGTCACACTGTCACAGTCATGTGCTTGAAGGGCTTTGGGAAGCTGTGAGGAATGCACAGACAGCAATAATCCTGTGCCAAAGCTTGTCTTGCACAGGGATCTGACTCATGACCCACGTGTGTTTTCTAGTAGCCCTTTCCCCGTTCTCCCAATGGAACTTTTCATATTCACTCTGCAAATAAAGGGTCTGTGGGTACAGAAGCCACACACTGGACTGTCTACACTTACGTGCTTCAGCAGGAATTGTGCAGCCCAGGATACATCTGTACACAGGTGTAGGCCCCATGCCGTAACTTCTAGTTCTCAACAAGCAAGCCTAGGGCCTTGAGAGGGGAGGGTATATAGGAAAAAGGGCAGAAGGCCTGCTCCTCAGAGATCCACACCCTTCTTGGAACACAAACTTTTGGGACCCAGTGACAGGAAAGCAGACCTCATGTGCCCCTGGGCTCTGGCTCTGCTGTTTATATGCTGAGGAGCCAGGGCAAGAGAGAGGCCTAGTGGAGGGTACCAGAGGCTGCCTGTCTGACCAGGTGGCAGCCAGAGCGGCTCAGTAGAGACTCATTGACTGCAATAAGTGGCTGTAATCATATTTATTAGTTTGACAAGGTAGATGTGAATTATTTTCTATGCCAAAATAGCCATGTATCAGCCCACATTAGATGCCACAAGGAAATAAGAACCAATGACTAGAAATATTAGGCATGTTCTCCCCTGAAGCTACTGATGTGGGAAGGGCAGGCAATGAGGCCCCAGGCATCATACATGGATAGGAGGTGTGCTATTTTCCTGCTCTGCTCAGCCCGTGCTGTGCCTGTGGCCTCAACCGGAGGTGCTGCTCCTGATGGCCTTTATCTTCCACCCTGAAGAGTACCTAGGGCACTTGCAATCCATGCATTTCAGGTCCTGACAGGTTCCAAATGTTGGCTCAGGGGCCATGTCACTCCAGACCTTGGACCTTACACAGCTCCACAATAGATGTGATACATGCTGCACACGGTATATCCAAGGCATCGGTGCAGGCGTGGGTGCAGTCTCTTGGGCTAGCTGTCATACCAGTCGAGGAAGAGCAAGGAGAAGGAACACATCACGAGGAAGAAGAGGATCCACACTCGGAAGCCAGCATTGTTCTTGATGGCCTGGCAGGAGGAGCACAGGTGTTAGCACCACCCTGGACCGGTTTTAGACACCCTACACCATGCTCTCCTTAGACAGGCAGCCTAAGGAGGAACAAAAGCTACTGTGCAGGGAGACTGGACAGAGAACAAATGCCTTGCATTTCATTTTAAACATCACATTTATCTCTATGGTGGGTAGGTGGGAATGCATGCTATGATGTGGGGTAGGGTCGAGGCAAATTTATTTAGAGTTAATTCTCTGCTTGTACCATGTGTATTTCGGGAAGTAAAATCAGGTTGTCCTGCTCGGCAGCAAACACTTTCATCCAGTGAACCATCTTGCCTGCCCTGCCTTTCATCCTCTTCTGTCGGGCAGAGTCTACCCTCCCAGGATTCAATTCCCCACGGATTACTCACTTCTGAAGCAGAGCTCAGGTTTCCCAGTGATGCCAGCCTGCGGTGACACAGGGACAACCAGGAGGTCTGGGCTTTAGGACTGTCGGCTCACAAGGCTAGGTGCTCATTGACAGTTTCCCGGCTCCTGTCCTTAGTGGGCTCATCCCTGGCTTCAGACTATCCTGGCCCTACCTGGATGTTCTCCCACCCACACTGTCCTTGAAAGGATGGAAATGACTTTCTCTGGAGAATGAGCTGGAGGTAAGCCAGCAGGTCTTATGAACACATCCTCTTAGGCTGGCCCCTAAGCACTATGCAGGGTGAGAATCAGGCTGCTGGGATGCAGTGCCAGATCAGACACGAGAGTCCTGGGTACCCACCTCTCGTATGTCTTCATTGCCTTCTTTAATGTTTTCAGTTGCCCCCACGACTAACTGGTGAATGCTGTCAATCTCAGTTTCCTGTAGAAGGAAAGATTATCACGTAAACCCAGCCATTCCTTCCTCCACCAAGAAGATATCCTTCTGCAAGGAGTTGCTACCATGTTCCAAGGTCTAGAAGCTGCATCTACACAGTCTGGGAGCCCTCACCTGAGAAGTGGGCATCATCCAACATAAAGAAAGGGAAACTTAGGGCTCAGAGATGTTTACTAACTTACAGAAGGTCACACAGGATCTGAGTTGCAGGGCTGTCTGGCCAGGCCTCTGGGGCAGCTCCTGCTGTGGCAGCTGACCTCCTGTGGTAGAAGGCTTGCGTACCAGGGCCTAAGACATTATAATTCTCTTTCCTGTATGTAGGATGAGGCTCTTGTCAGGTTGTACAGCCCACACTACCTGCTACCTATCACCCTTCATGTGTCGCCCATCAAGTGACAAGGACAAATATGAACTGGTGATTCTGGACTGGCCACCTTTACCAATACTCTCCTCCAGTATTCCAGTTACTCTTTATAAGGTCTAGAAGCCAGCTTTAAAATGTTACAGGCTTTGAAACACTCTAGCCACCCAAACAGCATGTTTTAGCACACTGCTAAACGGGGTAAGAGTTGAAGCAAATATGAATTGCTGGCCACAAATGTCCTGTGGAGATGCTGAGAGAACTTGGAAATGGGGGATGCTGGTCTTAGTTCATAAGACCATGCTATAGGAGACCGTACCACACCAGCCATGTGGTACTATATTAGTTCTTGCTGAGGGGAAGGGAGGCATGCCCTAGTGTGAGCTTTTAGGGAGCAACTGTCTGGTAAAATGCTGCAGAATGAAAAGCAGGCTTCAACCACCCAGGTCCCAGCAGTGACAGCACTGGACCAAGGCATGTGGGTAATGACACGTTGGTGGAGAATATCAGAATAGGAGCTGAGGGGTTTGCCATAAACAGCCTTCAATACTGACATAAATAAGTAAGGTTTTCCAGGCGTCGGCAGTCTAAGTCTAAGGTACAGCAACCTCCTAGAGCACTATGCTTGTCCTCAGGCAGCTCTCTTCTCTCTCAGGGGGCTGTTTGCCTGGACCTCTGGGGAAGCCCCTGCCTTGGTGGAAGGCTGAGTATCGGAGGCTGAGACTATGACTCCCTCTCCTGTATGTGGCCAGTCAGGTTTGTCACTGGGGTAGCATGCAGTGGGTGTATTCGCAGTGGTGTGTGTGGTTGTTACGAACGCAGGGCACTACCTGGCTTGGTCAGAGTCCCACTGAACGGCCTGAAGTGGGCCAGGTAGGGCACACTCTGTACTACATCTAGGGAATGGGCTTAGGAGA